TTAAGTTAACACCTCACTCACTCTTACTAACAACTCATAATAACCTATCCGAGGACTCTCCATCCTTTCCTAGAACCGCCGAGTCTCCGGTTCGCATTTACCTTTATCCTTTCCCTATATCCCTATACCCCCACTCGCACATGAGGAATTTAATGGGTCGTAATTTATATATTTTTAATTTGTAAAGCTTTCGGCGATTACTCAAAGCCTATAGAGTAGTCACAATGCTGGACAGCTAAAATGATTATATTGTAATGCATTGCATATTACACATTCATAATATGGAAAAAATAATATAAAAAGTAATAAGAAAACCATATTATATAAAAAATATTATGTATAAACAAATAAATACATAAAAAAATATAAAAATAAAATATGGATTAATAATAAAAAAAAATAAACATATATATAAAACAAAAGAATGAAAAATAAAAAAAAATATGGTTTAATAACAATAATAAAAAAAATATAAAACGGTTTAATAACAATAATAAAAAAAATATAAAACAAAATAATTAAAAGATTAAAAAAATAAAAAAGATGAGAGAGAAAATGGACGTTCCATTAATTCCTCTCCAGTTAAATATTATAATGATGTTCAATGTGCAATGCAATTTTATTTTTATTGTAATTATAAATGTGTATCGTATTTTTTAATACGATCTTATAGATTGTGTAAACGTATATTTCGTTCATGTTTTGGGTCGGGTGTGTGTCATTTCTTTTTTCAGGTACCTAGATCATAGCATTTCCTTCTTTCCTAAATTTCCCTAAATTTTCTTTTTGATTCCTCCCGGGTGTGCGGTCGCGCGTTTGCTCTCATTTGCTGTGAATGAGAGCAGCGGCTTCCACGTGGCCGCATGTCCAGGTGCTAATTAAAGGTATATCATCTTCTTATCGAAGATGATAACCAGGTATCATTTCAAGCGCAAAACAAGCCTCTGAATTGATGCAAGACCGTTTCGCATTTAACCTTCACGAGGTTGCACCTGTTTCATACAGAAAATGCTACGGATCTACGTTTTGATCCACTAGATCTACCATACGCTGGTTTATCTATAGAATGCGATTACGTTTGAACAACCAGTGGTTGGTTACGTGTGCCCAACCTTGTCCTATTCTCTCCAATGACTCTTTCATTAGTTATAATATAAAATGTAAAAATGTATCTTGAGATACATTAGTTATTATGGAAATTACATGTCAATGAAAACAGGTTGGGAATCGCTGATTTAGAGTGAATCAATTTACTAATATAATTTTTTGTTTTCATTACCTTTAGGTCGATTTCACTGAAGGGCATCGCGAACCACGGAAGGTCGACCAGACTGTCACGGTGGCTTCCCTCGAAGTCGCTGTACACGTCGTTATTAGCCCAGAGGACGACCTGGACAATCTCCAATCTCTTCGTTGATCCATCGGAGGTGTTAAGGCGACGATAGAGCTCCTTCAGCTTGTTCCGGAAATCATCGCTCTGCAGGTTGATGTTGGCGAATGAGAAATAAACGCCCACCGTCTCGACGTCCGTGAGGGCTTCAACGGTTTCCGTATCCGGTTTGCTACCCGAACAATCCGTAAGTTGCTTACCGAACAGTCTTTCCTGCCACAACACGTCCATATTCAGGAAACACCTTGAAAACAAACAAACAAAAAATTAACTACTTTAATTAATTAAAGAAAGTTCAAGTGAATGGAACGAACTTGTACAAACTTGCAATTTTATTACAAGTTTCTAGCCATGTTCTGTTCTATGGGGGGGAGGAAGGTATTGTAAACCCCCTCAGACACTCGAGAAGTGCACGTGCGGCTGCATACGATCCGAGACGCGTCTAATCAGCGACATCGCGCGGATGGCGTGTAATTAACATCCACCCTCTCAAGACGACGACTTCCTTTGTTCCGTTGGTTACGAGCGAGGGCAATTTGATTAATTAGCACGTATCGACCGCGGGGCAATTCAAATTTCCCGCTCGATTTAGTCACGGAACGCCACTCTCTACCACAACACAACGCAAACACGTTCTTTGTAGTTTTATTTTCTTTTTACTCTTTTAATTATTTTTTAATTAGCTCGGAGCGCGTGCGAGCACCAATTAAGCCCGGAATCCGTTTACGGAGCTTAATTAAACACAATTATGAGATTTATGCATTAATTACGAACAACTTCGCACCTTCCCTTAAAACCATTGTTTTGTTTAGACACGCATTGTTTTTTCTTTATTAATCAACGAGTTTTTCTCATTCATTCCCTTTATAACTCAATTATAGAGATTACATGAAATAACTCTCGTATTCCAATATTTTTTCATGTACTTTTATCAATTGTCTTCAATTCCAAATGAAAACAAAACACTGTTACTAATTTGTTTAGTAATGAGAATGAGTAAAACAAAAAACAGTCGTAAAACGAAACTTCTTGGAAGATTTGTTTTCATTCCAATAACAAGAAAAACAAGAGAGTTAGGAGTGCATTACCGTGTTGCCATTATGTATATTTTGTTCATATTTTCTCCTCATTTTTAGTTAAGTTCGCTAATGTAAAAAGTTTTGAAAAACAAAAAATGGAACAGCGGAAAGCTGCATCTAGATAGAAATTAAAACGTTCAAACTTTTATTTTCTTATAAATTAATAAGATTCTTACAAAAACAAAACAAATATTATTACTTAATACAGTATTTAATTGAATTTAATTTATAAAGATATTAATTTGAATTTGGAGACAATTAGTAATTATTTTATTTTGGGGTTGGCAAAAAAAAGAGTTGGTTACGCTTAATTGAATTCGCTTAGGGAGGTTTAGATATAATTAGTAATATTTTCTTTTATTCGTTTAGGGTTGGCGAAAAGAAAAAAAGTTGGTTGCGGTTAATTGAACTTACTTAGGGGAAGTTTCGACGTAACGTGATTAGCGATTGTTTTTGTTTCTTCTTACATTTCCGTCTTTTTTTTCCGTGTCTCTTTTCTTCTGTATATTTTCCAACAGGAAGTGTAGCAGTTATGAAAACAGTGCTGCGGCACTCTTTATCCGCCGCTCGGATCTCTTCATCCGCAATTAACAGGAAACGCGATACTAATGAGTGGCGACACAAAACCTTACGCTCAGAAGTAAATTGTATGTGCTCGTTAGCAGTTTTCGTGCAAACATACACATACGCACACAAAAGGGCGGCCGCCGGAAGCGGAAGTGGAAGCAGAAACAGAAACGAATCGCTTTTGTGTTTTGTCTGGCGAGGGGAAGGTTAAACTTACAAAACAATCAAATAAAAGCGAAACGAAACAAACGAAAATAAACATTTACCTATTGTCGATGCAGACGTAATCCGATTTATTTTATATATATTTTTTTTGTTGTTGTTGTGGATCTCGCGTCGCGCGCGATGTTTATTTTATTTTTTTTTTAATTATTTCAAGCGGAATGGTGACGCGGGCGTCGCGGCGCTTTCCCACCATCGACTGCTGCTCGTCGTCGTTGCATGGAAGTTGTTGGTGGTGGTGGAAGAGGGGGGAGGAAGGAGAGGAGGGTTTTGCACCGGCACCGAAAACACATTAACATGCGCAAACACCGCACGCGATCGCAGAACTAGCTAGACCAGACCAGACGAGACGAGAGAAGGTCGAAGGGTAGAGTTTAGAAGAGAAATATCCGCGTTTTTTTCAACAACATCCAAACTTACTATCATGATAATACTATATTTCAAGAAACGTTTTAATGCGAACATACGAATGAATTATTCAGAGGATTCCGAATGGATCGAATGGACCACTTTCGGGTTGCTACTAGATGCAAAAAAAAAACAAGAATAATATTATTTATCTGTTCTGCAATTGGCTGTGATTCGACTTGTAACATCACTAGAGCCCATCAAAAAAAACTTGAATTTTCAGTTTCAGTAATCATTGGAATACGTTTAATTTGTATGCTTATTTCAATTGAACTCAAGACTAAAATGTGTTGCAGTTTACTCGCATAAAATTACTTTATTACTATATATGAAGGATGTTTAAATTTCCATTTAGATCAATATAAATATTCCAGGCCTTCTCTAGGATTCGCTACGTTCGTCCATAAAAATTTACTAATCGTATCACGTTCCACATAACTAAAAGAAAAACTTAGAATTTTCCAAGGCAATTCCACAAAAAAGAAATCCAATATTTGGAAATGTTGTTATTTTTTCAATTGCATTTATTTGAAATTAAACTGCCGATTAAATTGCGAGAGTTATAAAGTCGCTTTCATTGTGTTATTTCCTAAACAGAGGGCTTTACCGAACTAATCGCATCAGATCAACTTGAAAGAGTTGCATTCATTGTGAATAGCGAGAGGTGGCTGTGCATCCCAAACCTAAATTTGAGTGGGATGGGGGTGTTGTCCCAAGAATAAAATTGCACGGCTTGCCACGACCCTCAAAAACCCAAACAAAACAAAAGCCACTCTTCCGATAAAAATAAAAGAGGAACGCGACTTCGCGATGCGATGCAGAGGGAGCGCATCGATCGCTCCTGCTTAATATCCATCCCTTCACGTGTGTGTGTGCCCTTCGCCTTTTTCATTTCTATTTTTTTTTGTGTAAGTGATTAATTTTTCGATTCGACACATTAATCAAGTGGGCTCCATACGACCCCTCTCACTCACACCCTTCTTCTCGCTGTTCACCCTTATTAATACAATCTGTGACAAATGTTCGATCAGCTGCAAACACAAATTTGTACTCGGAGACAATATTTATAATTTACTTTGTAAAAAAAAAATATATATTCTATTAAATATTTTACTTGTAAATTGGAATAACGCGAATTCTATTCAATAAGTTTGGCTGTTTGTGCATTTATACGTGAATTTGGTTTCTCTCTGTACAAACTTCGTGATTACTACCTTCGACGGTTTCAACTGAAAGTTTCTCAAAGTTCAAAGCTGTAAGTTTCAATATAACTTTATAAGCAAGTAACTTAGTTATACTTATTCGATTGTTAGTGTTTTGCCTGTAAAAGTTAATTTCTAGCTGATCAGAATCTATAAGAAGTACTAGAAACTAGTGAGCCCTGAAACGGTTTTGTAGTGGAAACAATAAACAAGCGAAGCGATCGTCAAATAGAAAATAAATATCGCCTGACAAGTTTTTTTTTTGTTCCTCTAAAAATTTTTCCCAAATTTTCTAGTGCCAGGGATGGCGCGTCTCTTGAATCGAATGGCCGCAGGTCGAGTGAGTCTATGTCTTCTAAATTAATCATATCACTGTATTAATTTAATTTTTCATTAATTTTTTTGTAGCCTCGGACCGCTCGCATGTTCACGGCGGAAGCGGCCGAAGATGTAGCGGAAATCCCGAGCACCACGACCACCGCTGCTGCTGCTGCGGCGACTCCGTCAACCTCCACCAACACAGCGGAGACGACGCAAAAGCGTTACGAGGTGTGCAGACCTCGGACAGTTCCGTTGACGCCGAGACGCATCTTCGTCAGCGAGAATCATCTGACCCAGGACACGACTATAATGCGCTACCTTCAGCCCAGTTCGATGCCGGAGTTCTTCAGACTTCCCACCGACTTCAAAGCCATCGAAGCCCACTACAAACGAAACCAATGATGATCTTCTATCCAATTTCTTAAAATTAACAACAACAAAAAACAAAATTCATTCATTTTTTTTTTTGAAACAGTTTTAACCTTTATTTATTCACTCATTACTCAAAAAATAATTAAATAAAAACAAAAATAAGAACAAAACAGAATTTAAAAGTAAAATGGGAATCCTTCAGAAATAATAAAAACGAGTCGCGTATCCGTGGCGACTCTGTCCTCCTACTCCTTCTCCTCACCACCACGAACTAATAATATTAATAACAAAAGAATTAAAAACAAAATACTAGTCGACTTCGATATTTTTTTTTTTTTTTTTTTTTGGTACTCGAAGAAGTTAGGGAAACGTAAAAGTAACATTTGATAAATCGCTAAATGCATAATTTGTACATCATATATTATTTTACACACACACACACACACATATACATATATATATAAATCGGTGTGTATACGTGAATTGAAAAATAAATAAATTCATCTATATATATATATATATGTATATATACCCAGAGATTTTACATCATTCGTCTTTGTAATAAACTTAAACTATTATAT